GCTCTAGTAGAAAATATTATGAACCAAGATGATTTGGAAAATAATTAAATAAATTGTTTAAAATTTTAACATGATTTTATTTGAATATATATATAGTAATAAAGATATAAATTTTTAAAAATTATAATAATAAAGTTTTGCCAGTTACCAATTTCCCCAATTTCACCAGTTGCACCAATTTCACCAGTTGCGCCAATTTCACCAGTTGCAACAGTTGCAACAGTTACAGCAATTTCGACAAACATCATTTGAGTTGCACCATTGGTGGAATAGTTTCACCAGTTATACCAGCTGTAACTACTCAATTTCACCAGCAACCTTATGTGGGACACCCCAGTACTATACATACTGTACATATAGTGTTCAACTATACACCATTTGCCCATTTTTAAGCAAGATGTTGTTTTTCATTTACTTCTTTGTACACATGAATACCTTGTATGCTTTTATGACCTGTTGTTCAATTAATTCAGAATTCGTAATCTTATCAAGCAGCATAATATAATTATAATTCTTTAAATTTAGTAATTTAATTTCGAGTTGATTTTTAGTATTTGCAATAATAGCTTTTTGATGATAAAAATTGAGTTCTCGTAAATTTCAAATGGTGCTTGTTGTGTGGAAATGGTATTTGAAATACTTTGAGGAATAGAATCAACTGGTAAAGTAGAAATTGAAGCCTCAGAAACTTTTTGGGAAAGGAGCAAACTTGCATTAGCAAAATAGGTTGAAATACTTGTTTGGGATCTTTTTGCTTTTTATTGTTGTGAATTTGATGCATTTTTATTAAATAAGAAATGTTTTAGGAAAGGATGCAAATGGTAAATTGTGATTTTTTATCATAAGTAAAAAAAAAGACTTTATAAACTTTTTCATAGCAAAATAAAATTTTTTTCATCACAGGCGTTAGTCTCTGTAAGATAAACCAGTTATTTCACAGATTCCCATGAAATAACTATTATATAAATATATCAGTCATTTTGGATTTATGAACTGTATTAATATTTATTTGATCCAACTGAATCCCGCACATTAAGCCACAAAATTTATAAAAAATTGAGGTCAGACGGTACACATCTCTAAAATCATACTGCGTGCAAATAAACTATCATGTTTGGATTGAGCATTCCGCACATTGATTTTAGACAATGCCTAGTCCTGCAACTTTTTATTGGTCTTGTAGGTCCTTTAGTAACATGAAAATCAAATCATAGTTTAAGACCTTTCTCTACAAAGTTATGATTTCATTTTGTCATTGTTGAACCAATCAAATTGCAAGCTAACCTAATGAACAATTAGTGTGTAACTCCACCAATCGATTTCTGGAGGAGTTTTGACAAACAACCATACCATCAATTAAAACTTTTGACAGTACATGATGTGCTAAAATATTACATTTTTCCTTAATAAAATCACTAAAAATATTGATTGTATATATATATATATATATATATACATATATCATTGGGGTGTATGATGGACTAATGTAGATCAAAACTAATTGACATCATATATAAAATTTACTAATTAACTTTTTTTCAACAAATATAAA